TTTTTTTTTTTTTTTTTTATTTTTAGGTGCCCCAAAAAGACCTAACGGTCTTGCTACAGAGCTAACTTTGACGCAAAAATATGTCCTTACCGTGACACGAGAATATGTCCAAAGCTCGTTTTGAATCTGGATTTCCTGCTTATAGAGTAGGCACTCTAATTACTGCGCCACGGCCGCTTCTGTCTTCCTTTTTAAAAATCAAAACGTATTTTGTTAGTGGTTTAGATTTCTTTTTTGGTGGTTTATCTGATGTGTTTTCTCCGGTGATATTAGGTTGGGTTGGACTTATGACCTTTACGTTATGCACCGTCAACATGTGTATATGCACTCCTTTTGTCGAACCACCACAGATTTTTAAAATCTTCTTGCAGTTTGGCGATTTACACATAGCTGTTTGCCCTTTCTCTTCTCGTAGAAAATATTTCCAAACAGCTGATTTACTTTTAATTGTAAAGTCCACATACGCCATGCTTATTTAAGTTTTTATTTTAAGAGTAAACCTTGTAAGAAACGCGCGTTTTTTTTTTCAGTTTAAAAAAATTTATTTTGCAGAATTACAGAACAGAATAACTTAAAAGTTAATTACTTGATATTATATTAAGTAAAAATTATTATATTGATGCGCATAAATTGCTGTTATTTTTATATATTTTTTGATTTCCCCTTTGTTTTGCTCGATCGTATAGGGAATCCCGGGATTGATCTTAGACAATCCCGAGATTTCGGGATTATAAAAAAGGCCGTGATCCCGGGATTGCAAACCCTAATCAAATCAATCATGATCGATGGTCTAATCCACAAACAAGATAACTCTACTTGTTTGTAAAATCAACTTAATTGCAGCAAAAGGTTTTCCTACTTCTAAGGCATCATTGTACAAAATGATGTCCAAAATATTCTTAAAACTGATAAGAAACGCTTTACAAAAGTAAGGTAAGTGTTGTTAGAGGCATATGAAAAAATTTTATGTCACTCCTGCACAGTTTGGTTTACTAGAGGTAAAAAAAAACTATTCATCTCCTTAGGACGAGCAATTGTCTTGGGGTTCTTGAAAGCAACGAATAGTTTACAGGATCGCTTCTTATAAGTAGAAAAGGGAATGGGTTCCGCATTACATTAGTTCTAGATATTTACCATGTGTGATATAAAGTAATAAACTGTTTAAGAGTAGGATTTAAGAGCTTTAAAAATATAAGAAAGCTCGGAGTCTGGCATTTTTAGTGACCTTATTTTGTGCTTCCTGAGCCTTCTCAGAAAGGCCCCAATTGGAAAATCCAAATGCTCAACTATTAAAAATCCATGATCCAGAATCTTTTGAAGTGTGGATGTCAAAATGTACCAAGAAGAGTTCTGAAGTTGCAAAGCAATATGCTTTAAAAACATTCAAATTTAGGTGGAATTCATTGCAAACTAATTTATTATGTTTTTGAACCTTACCGTAATGTCCTAGCTAACTCCTGTTATTTTAAAGAAGAATTCTACTGCAATAATACTTTTTTGCAATATGTCTTTATTGGTAAATCCAAGTGACGGCTTAGGTGTATTAACCCCTATGCCTTATTCTTCGCAAAATTTTCTCTCGATTTTCTTTTTTCCGAGCTTTTACAAACAGCTTATCTTCTCGAAACCGAAACTGGTATCTTTTAGTATCTACTTTATATTCTAGTGAATTCAAAACTTTGAATTTTTATTCAAAACTTTGAATTTTTATTTATTTCCTAACATTTAATTTTTCAGCTCAGATTAACTCCTTTATTTCATTTTGATATTGCAGGTGAAGAGGCCTGCAAATATTGCGGCTTAAAGGTTTTAGGTTTGACCATACTATGGTGTTTCCTATTTCTAGTTTCAGTGGAAAATTGCAGTTCGGAATAAGGATTGTTAATTTTTAATTCCAGTGGCAAGATCTGTGTCATCAAACTTTTGATTGCATAAACTTTAAGATGAAGTCCCGTCCATTCCAGCTTTCAAATAGAATTTTCTAATTGCTTCTGATCCATCTAGACATTCTGTAATAAAAATGTTCATAATTCTTGAAAAAGAGTGGTTCACCATTAATTGAACAGAGCACTTGGCAGATGTTTTTAAAATTCCAACCTCCTGGATACATTTGGATTTTGCATCAAAAATCAATTTGACTGAAGAGTTCATCTGCATTCTGTTTTAGTAAAGAGTTTTCAAGCACTTGATATTGTAAATCACTGAGATAACAATTTATCCTTAATGCAAGGGTCTCTTCTGCTTTCATCATTACTGGATAAAGTTTTGTATTTTCAATACTTTTCCTGGGTAGAGTTTAGTTTTGACATTGTTTAACAACCTTTTAAAATTCTGCTTTTCCTGGGCTTAATTAGGCACTCAATGCAGCAGTGCAGACAAGTTCTTTTGTACAATAGTCAATAACTAAATTACAAATTATAATATTTTATATTTTAAGATAAAACGCACTCTTTTCTATAAAATTAGCACATCTTTACTTCTTCTCAAATGAGGATGTGCTACAAAAAATTGCAGTATGAACAGATTGGGAACAAAAAAAAACCCAAATCAAAAAGTCTCTTTTCACCTTTATCCCCTCCTCCTTGAGGAGTGGAATAGTATTTTGACCATAATGTTTTTTTGAAAATTTAAAATAAGATTTAAATTTATTGGCAGAATTCAAAAGTTTTAAATAATGTACAATCGATATTTTTAAGGTGAAACCGTTTTACTGAGAATGTAAACAAAATTAAACAAATTATAAATTCTTCATTTGTTTCTAAAACTACTGCATTTATGATTTGACATTTAATTTTTTTTTATTTGTATTTATTTATCATTTAATTAGTAATAATAAATTAATTTTTTTGCTATTTGATTTTAGTACATTTTTTTTTTTTTTATGTTGATTTAGGTGCGCTAAGAAGTCCTTGCGGTCTTATCACAGAGCACCGCGGAAGAGCATTTAATAGGAAGCTCACGCTTCCTTCCCAACCGATGTCGCAAAACTTGTCCAGAGGTGGGGTTTGAACTACGGATCTTACGTTTCTGAGGCAAGTGCGCTACCACTGTGCCAGGGCTGCTCTTTAGATGTACATGTTCAATTCATCTTGAATGATGTGTGTGATAAAATCACAAGAGGTTTTTTATTATCATGTTAGGACCTTTTCATTATTACTATTATATTATTATTATTATTTTTATTGTTATTATTATTATTATTATTATTATTATTATTATTATTACTATTATTATTATTATTATTTTTGTTATTATTATTATTATTATTATTATAATTATCAAATAGCCATTTTGGTTCTGGAAGGCCCCATAAGCAATGGAGTGTTCTTGGAGAGCAAATCAAAAGAAAAAAAAAGAAAAGAACTAGCCACTGAACATCATGAAGCTTTATTTTTAGCTTCTGCAAAAAGTGCAAATGCTGCCGGAGAAAAAAAAAAGCCTTTATTTTAAAAAACAATATATTTGTTATATATTGTTTTAGAAATAGAAAAAGTTGATGAAACTTTGGATAAAACCTTTACCATTAACATGAGTGTACAGAAAGCTCTTGCATTAGAAATGAATACTGATCTCAGCGATAAACAATATCAAATGATCAGAAACTCAGCTCTTGTACACATTGTACATATTTATCTTACCTTGCACAATATTTTTGTTGAAAAATTGAAATGCTATCCTGAGAATATAAATTTTTTTGAAATTTCTGCAAAGTGTACTCTTCAAAGGATGTTAGATCACACTATGAGTAGAATAACTGAAATGATTGATATGGCTAATTTTGTTCAAAGTTTTATATGGAAAGATTGGTTTAGATGGAGCATCAAGCCAAAGTATTTATAAACAGAAATACGACACAAGCAACGCAAGTATAGAACTTAAGCCTGAAGAAAATCTTTTCAGTACAGCTTTTGTGCCTTTATTGCTTAAATTAGAAGATGACGAAATTTGGAAAAGTGAAAATCCTTTAAGCTGTCACTCTTGTAGATCTCTTCATCTACAATATAAAAAAGAGAATCCAATTTTATCCAGAGAAAAGAATAATCAGATTTAAAAAATCAAAAAAATACCTTAAAGACGTTTTGCAAAGTTTTTAATATTGCAGGAAGAATTTTGACATTTAATATCAGCTATAGGATTGATCTTACAATATTTGATAAAAATGTAGTTAACGCACTTACAAAGATAAAAACCACTCAATCCTGCCATGTGTGCAATGCTAAACCCAAGGAAATGAACAATATTGATTTATTAAAAGCAAAAACTGAGAATGACTCGGTCTTGGGGCTCGGAATTTCAAAAAAAAAAAAAAATTTGTGCGCGTATATATCATATTAACACGTTCATAAGCGCGTAAAATCGCATTTTACGCGTCGAAGCTCCGCGTAAAAAAAAATTATTAACAAATTTGAAATCTTTGAAAAATTATTATTTTGATATATAACATTATTTATTTACGATTTATATATTTGAACATGTTGAAATAAAGAACAATTTCACATGTTAATGTTTTTTTTTTTTTTTTTTTTCGAAAGTCTCTACTAATTTTTACACAAAAACATGAAAACCCAAATTTTTAGCTATTTTGAAGAAGAAGAACTTCTTTTAATTAGAAGTATATTGCTAAATAAATAATTGAATCTTTATGATAAAGTTATTAAAATTGATAAAGTTTATCCATTTTAATAATGCAAAATTAAAAATAGTAAAAAAGCAAAAAAGTTAGGGTAAGGCGGGGCATTAAGCCCCATGGGGAATTAAGCTCCATTTACTCCGTTGATAAAATAAAATGCCTAACGTTATTGTATTAAGAGAGAGGGACATTAGATTTTACATCATAGATACTAACTAACAAATGAGGGAACCTTTCTCAACAATATTTGGGCTTCTAACCAATGGTATTGATATATAATTAGACTTTATAGATGAGTGATTTTTCCATCTAGTTTTCCGTTTCCTTCAAACTTGTTGATAAATTAGCGCGTATTTGTTTTGACTTAAAATACAAGTACATATAAACGCGCGTTTGTTTTTACTACAAGTAACTACAAACTTAGTAAATACAAGTAAATATAAACTTAGTAAGTACTATTTTTAACTTTATAACTATCTGTGTATGTAATCAATGAGTTAAAATAATAATATTTCTAGAGCAAATTAAGGAAAATTTCAGCAAATAAAATGACAATTAGATGAATGTCTAAGAAATTGTTTATAAATAGCTCTAAAATTCACTTTATCACTAAATTTCCATTAAATATTTTGAATAGAAATCATTTCTAAGAAAAATTTAATTCTTTTGATTATTAATTAGTTTATTTAGTTTATAAAATTATTGTTTTAATTAGCAGGGGCTTAATGCCCCCAAATGCCAAAGGGTGATTAAAACAACCAAATAAAATTGATCAGATAAATAAAATCAATGTTTTAATTTCAAAAACATTACACAGATATAGTTTAAATTGAAAACAAAATTTATTTATTTTTAGAAATAGTTTAATACTGTTTTAAATGTAGTTTTGATAATGGAGCTTATTGCCCCCTGTATTTAGCAGAATGGTTCGAACATATAAAAAGAGAGGAGAACAAGGAAGGAAGTCATATGCAACTAGCCAAGCAATGATAGATGCCTTCAATTTCGTCATATGTAAGCAGATGTCTGCCAACCATGCTTCCATGCATTATGGAGTTGATAAAAAGGCTCTTTTAAGAAGAGTACGACGGGAAATACAAGTAAGTTCTCATCCAGGTAAGCGAACTGTTTTAACATCTAAGCAAGAAGAAGAACTGGCAGACTGCCTTATTGTGTTAGCTGAGTGGGATTGGGATTTTAGTAAAGAGGAGGTAAAAGGCATAATACAGGAATTTGTAAAAGAAAATGGTATTGATGTTCCTTTCATTGATATTCAACCAAGTAGGGACTTGTTGTGTGACTTTTTGCAACACCATCCGAAAGTACTCCCAAAAAAAACAGAACACCTCAGCAATGTGAGAGCCAAGACTGAAGACCCTGAGGTCATTAAGAAATGGTTTCAGCTGGTCCATAAAACTCTACAAGATGCTAGAGTTATCTGCCTACCAAGTCAAATATTCAACTGCGATGAAACATGTTTTGTAACTGACCCAAAAACCCAAGTTGTGTTAGCAGAAAAAGGTGCTTCTAGAGTGACCCAGAGCATTGGTGACTCAGGACGCGAGCAAATAACTGTAAATTTTGCATGCTCAGCAAGCGGCCATATACTGCCACCTTATGTTGTGTACACAGGAAAAATTTGTATTGTGAGTGGGTTCAGGGTGGCCCTGATGGAGCTGCTTATACAAAAAGTAAGAAGGGCTTGATGGAATCACCTCAGTTTTTGGATTGGTTTTACAATATTTTTCTTAAGAACACAAAACACATTGAAAGCCACAAAAGAATTCTCATATTTGATGGACATGCCTCACATGTGAGTTTGCCTCTTATTGAATCAGCAAAAAATAACGATGTCATCCTACTATGTTTGCCCTCTCATCTAACCCATCTCCTCCAACCTCTGGATACATCAGTTTTCCGATCTGTGAAGAGCAGATGGCAAAGCCTGCTATTAAAATGTGCAAGAACGCACAATGGACCAGTATCAAAAAAGCATTTACCTGGTTTGCTACACATTCTTTTCCAAAGTTCATTCATGAACAAGTCAAAAGTGATTTCAAGGGAACTGGCATTTTACCATTTAACAAGGATGCCATTGACATAAACTCCTTTAAACAGTGTCCTCAAGTTATGATGTCTACGAAAAATGCTACAGAAAAACCCACATTGCCCATTCCAACTGTGCCATGCTCTTCAAAAGTACTTTCCATCACTAATGCTCACAATGCTTCTGCATTAACATCACTATGTGTATCATATTCAACATCATTGTCAACTACTGCATCATCAACAGATTTATCATATTTAACTTCAGTACCTGCTTCAACACCTGATTCAGCAATTGCAGGACCTTCAAACATCATTGACACTTCAGCACCTGCAGGACCGCAAACATCATTGTCTACTTGATCGTCAGGAAAGTCTTCTATTAGAGACTTTTTTTTCAAAGAACTTCAGCCTAGATTTGCCCAAACTTCAGGATATTGCAGGTCGGCTACATTCTCCAGGTTTCGCTATGGAGAAAGCCTAAGAGGTGATGAATGTTTGAAGCGACTGAGAGGCGAAGTAGCAAAGAAAGATAACACTCCAAGAAAAAAGACCACCAGAAAAAAAAATCTTCCAGATAGAGATGATAGGGACAGTGATGAGGAAGACGACACTGTGTGCCTAAAGTGTAATATTCATGGAGGTCACGGAGAACAGTGGATCTGCTGTGAGTTACGTGATGATTGGTATCATGTTAAATGTACAGAAATTCCAGATGGGGCTGATATTAAATCCATTGAATGGATCTGCGAAATTTGCCTACAAACAATGTGAAAATATATGTTTAACATCTGGAGCTTATTGCCCCCATTTTTTAAATTTTGAGTCATTGTTAGTTGTGATTTTTTAGCTTTTTTTTCACTGTAAGATTATAAATTTTTCTGATTAAAGCTTTTGTACTAGAAGAAATATGTGTTGTCTATTACTTGATAATATTTTGAGTTTGAATTTAATATTTATTTACTTACTTTGAATAGAAGAAATGAAAGTTCTTAAAAACAGAGGTTCAACAGGCTGTTTCTCCTCTGTAAATTTATCCGGAAGAATTTGTTCTTTTTTCTGAAATTCGTCCTGATGAACCTCCAGAAGGAAAAAAATCTTGTCAAAGACAAATTTAGATAAGTGTTTTTACTAACTTGCCAAACTCTAAGTTGATGTAGTGGCATTCCTTTGTGGCTGCAAGCTATAGGTAGATGTATGTACTTGTACATACATTGTAGATGCATGTACTTCATCCCCCAACAGCTATTTCAGAGTGATATCAGTGGTGTTACGTAAACAAACATTCATTATTAGACACACACACACACACTCATACGCACATACACACACACAATATATATATATATATATATATATATATATATATATATATATATATATATATATATATATATATATATATATATATATATATATATATATATATATATATATATATATATATATATATATATATATATATATATATATATATATATATATATATATATATATATATATGATACATGTATATATTTAATATTTGATTTTAGAAAAGTTAAAAACTAATGATTAGCATGCGCAAAAAAGTAAATGCATATAATCTACTTGATTTTGTTGTTTCTAAAGAGAAAAGGGTTTATGACTGTCTGTTGGAAATAGCAATAGAACGGCGGAATGGTAGGGTTTTTTATTTTATTTTAAAATTGATACATTAAATAACAGGCCTTGTTTTAAATAAAAAAGTGCTTAATGCATTAGCTTAACGCGATTTTGACGTCATAAAATTATCTTTTTTTTTTTTTATAGGCGTTAAGTGTTTTAACTACCGCAATAAATAAATAACCGCAAACTAGTTCAATTTAACAATTAACTCTAATATAAACTATAAACGTTTTAAATATAAATTTATTATGAAAATTTTGTGATATTTTCAATTATTATTTTATTATTAATTTTAGTTCAATATTATTTAGTAAAATATATATATATATATATATATATATATATATATATATATATATATATATATATATATATATATATATATATATATATATATATATGTATATATATATTAATTATTTCTGAAATTTGTTTTTGAATAATTGTTTTTAATCATTATTGAATAAAAAATAATAATGATTTTTTTTATTTTTAAAAATTTCTAGAGTAAACAAAAAATATTAACATTGATAAACACAAACCCATGTTAATTATTTAAACAACGATTTTGTTTTGACTAGCAAAGGAAAATTTAAGTTTTTAAATATTTTTAAAATTTTTAAAAGCGTTTCAACTTGCGTTTTATAAAAATATAAAAAAGTTTTGTCTGCTTTGAGCATATTTTTTATACGTAGTTTAGAACGCGTTCGCTAGGAATTTAATTCATAAATTTTTTATGTTTTTGTAAAAATATTTAACTTTTTAAACAAATCACAAAGAAACAGAGCTATAGAGAAAAATCGTTTTCAACGATTATATCTTTTTTTTTTTTTAATTTTAGGAAATTAAAAAAAAAATTAAAAAAGTATAAAAGTCTTAATTATGCAAACTCTTTTGTTAATTATTCTTAAAACAAAAAAACAAATACTTCTACGCCAAACTTTAATCGTGCAAACTTAAAAAAATACTCAACTGAAATAATTTAAGTATATTTAATAATTTGAATCGTATCTGTTTATAATAAACATTCGTAAAAATTTGTTTATTAAAAATTAAGTTCCTTAACTTATAAACAAACTCAAAAGTATTTTCATTCTACGTATAATTACAAAACTCTTTTTTTTTTTTTTCGTTTGTAAGCAATTTAACTTATTAAAATAAAAAAAAGAAGAAATACGAGGTAATCTTTGTTAAGAATAAATTTAATTTATTTATTGAACTATATTTTTATTTTTAATTATATATCAACTTAATTAAAATATAGTAACATGTTAAAATATTTTAACATGACTTGTATTATTTATAAACCGTTGGGCAGTTGCCCCCACGGCACTTTTTTTTTTTTTTTTTTTTTTGGATAATATTTTATTTTGATGAAGATCACATAACTTTTGTTTTTGGATAATATTTTATTTTGATGAAGATCACATAACTTACATTTGATTTTAATAACGTAAGTCTTCTCTTTTTCTGTGATCATCGCATCGGCAAAGTCCCAAGATTTAAAAGTTTTTAAAGTAAATCTTTTGTCCTTCAAAATATAATCCATATTCGAACTTTAAACAATTTAGAGATAATAGAAATATACAAGGTTTTTATATACTAGTTTGTTTTGTTTTATAAAGAAAAATACATATTCATTAGTAAAAAATGGAGACTGTCATTAAACTAAAACGTGCCTTAGTATTTATTTAACGGAACCTGTAATGTGCGCGTGCATAATAAAACCTCCGTTATATAAATATATTCAACGTAATATTAGTGTCATCAGCGGATGTTGTAGTCTACTCATGAATTTCTTTACCTTATATTATAACTTGATTTATGAAAAAAAAACTTATTGAATCGCACGCAGAAGAATTTTAACAAATTGTCTTCATTCAAATATTGCGAGTAACAGGTAATTTTTTTTTTCTGTGCCGACCCCCTCCCCCCGCATAACTTAAACTATATACTAATAAACTAATAAGAAAAGCTATATACTATTAAAATAACTATAAGCTATATACTATTAAACTAATAAGAAAAGCAAAGACATTTTTTTTAACATCTCGAAAAAATGTCTTGATATTTTTGTTATCATGATAACAAAAATATTAAGACATTTTTTGAGATTTTATTTAAAAAAATGTCAATTCTTAATTACAATTTTTTTTGCAAATGTTTTTTATTATAAATTCAGTAAAAAATTCATAAAAAATCTATATTACAAAAAACTTTTATATTCTGTATTAATAAATATGGAATATAGATTTTTTAAAAGTTTTTTACTAAAAACTTTAAAAAATTACTACTTTTTATTAAAAACATTGCAAAAAATTTGTAGTTAAGGATTGACAAACAATTTTTCATGTTGCTAAATATTTGGATAAAAAGTTTAGCATCAAATTAATTGCTATAAAAAGGAAAGATATATCGCGATGAAAAGTTACAACAATTATTTTTAAAGTAAATTCTTTTTTTTAATAAATACCTTTACATATCGTTATTTAAAAGTTAATGTGGTTTTTTTCAAAATTAATTACTTCTTTTATGTTACCGCTAATTTAAAAGTTAAAAAATGATAAAAAGTAGCCTAACCAAAACAGCTCTACGCGTACGTAAAAAGCGCTTAAGGCGTACGTAAATCGCTCTAGGTGTAACGCTTTAAAACAAGGCCTGAAATAATACTATATATAATTTATCAAATATACATTTAAACAACATCAAATTAATATAAAACATATATTATAAATTTATCAATCTTTTTCTTTCAATTTTGTTAACTTTTTTGAGATGGTTGAAGATAAATGAATAAAGATTGATAAATATACTCTTTGTATATCAGTCAAAAGAAAGTCAAACATTTTCTTGGATTTTCTTGGACTTTCTGTTGCAATATCAAAAGAAGTAAAATAATTACTTTTTTTTTCAGATCATATTAATGATCTGTTTATACCAGTCAAAAATAATAAAATAATAAATGTCAGAAAAATGGAACTGTCAGACAAGTTTAAAAACGTAAAATAATACATTTTTTTAATTGATGCAAACTGCACAAACTGAAACCCTCAGTCAATGTCACAGGACTCCTTACATGTTTTATCTATTTGTCAGTTGATGTAGCAGCACTCCTTGTATGTTCTACCTATTTGTTAGTTGATGTATGTAAACTTCTTGCATGTTCAACCTATTTGTTAGTTGATGTATGTAAACTTCTTGCATGTTTTACCTATTTGTTAGTTGATGTATGTAAACTTCCCACATGTTTTACCTACTTGTTCATCAATGTAATAAAAATTGTTTTTATTAAAAAAAAAAATAAAAAAATTCTAGTCTATTTAATTGTGTAGATGTGGTTTTTAAATAACGATAAAATTTAATTAGTTTCTGCAATTAAATTTAATGGTTTTAATATAAAGTTTACTTAATTTTTTGATTTCTAAACACAAAAGTTGCTGAGAGTTGTTAATTTAAAGCCATTTACTATTGAAATATATATATAAATATATATATATATATATATATATATTTTGCTTACCTTTAGCCATATATATATATATATATATATATATATATATATATATATATATATATATATATATATATATATATATATATATATATATATATATATATATATATATATATATATTGCGCATATAAATATGCTATAGTAGATATATATATATATGTATATCTACTATAGCATATTTATATGCGCAATATATATATATATATATATATATATATATATATATATATATATATATATATATATATATATATATATATATATATATATATATATATATACACACTTACTTAAGTGTGTTTTGATAAGCATTTGCTCACTTTTTCTGCTTACCTTAAGCCATACTGTTTTTCTCAAAAAAGAAGAAAAAACGAAGAATGATGAATAAAACGATTGCTTCCACATCCCAAACCCTCAGTCGATGTAGCAGCACTCCTCTGTGAGTCAGGCTATTTGTCAGTTGATGTATGTACTGAAGCCCCCAGCAGCATATATATATATATATATATATATATATATATATATATATATATATATATATATATATATATATATATATATATATATATATATATATATATATATATATATATATATATATATATATATATATATATTCTGTGTTTATATTTTTTTTATGAATTTGTTTTTTTAATTTTTTAGCAAGTTTAGCTCTTATGCAATGGATCCAAGTTGATAGTAATTCATCTATAAAAAATGCAATATCTAGTCTTGATGAAATTCACAGAATGTGGTTAGATGTCCAGATAGAGTTTGCTAATGAGGTTTACTTAATATATATTTTCTATATTTCATATATATGCATTTTTTTCTAATTTTTAGATTAAAAACATGTTTTCAATAAACAAAAAGTGCATGTTACAGGCTTGGTCGGGAAGTGTGTGCGATCACACTCTAATTGACCACAGAAATATTATTTAGTTGCAAAAAACCGGCCAGATTTTTTAGTCGTTTTGAGAACATTTCAAAAACAAACAAAAAAGCGCAATAAGATTAACTGGACCGACGAGAGACAGTTAAAAAAAAACAATAGCTTTTAACGCGAAAAAGCAATTGTTTTTGAAACTTCGCTCTTTTTTAACTTTTTTTATAAAATAAAGCGACATTTTTTAAATAAAGTAACAACTATAAAAAAACAAATGTTCTTCGATTTATCAGAGTATATATAATTTTTATTTATATACTTATGTCTTTTTTCCAGTGCTGGATTGAGGAGGTGGGGTGGGGGTAGTAGGGCTATTGCCCCGGGACTCGCAATGTTAGGGGAAATAGTCAAGAGGACCATTCGGTATTTTTTTATTTTTTTAATGACTTAAAAAAATAAATTTATTTTTTTAAATGACTTAACAAGAAAAAAAATTCAACTTAACAAGATTCAACCAGATGATTTATTTATAAATAAAAAAGTTTTTTCAAAAACTGTTTTATGCTTCGTGTAGTTTAAAAAGTTTAACACATTTGAAACAATTCTTCTTAATAAGATGAACAAATGAAATAATTAAATCATTGAGTTACTGTAGAAATTCAATTAGCTAGATAGAAATTAACAAAAAACGTTAAATTACTTTGTGAGGAGGAAGCGGAACTGCTTCACAATACCGCTGATGATGTTTAGTGAGTGGGCTTCATAATTTTAATTAGTATTTAAAACAGAAAAAAGTAACTTTAAGTATAACGAGTTTGTAAGAATGGCTGAAGCAAAAATATTTGAAATTGGTAAACCAATTTCTAAGAACTTAAAAACTTTTCTTTCTTGGGAGAAAGAATCAGTTATCGGGTATACTGAGGAAAATGGATTAGTGGTTAAAATTATTTGTGTTAACTTTGACGATTATTAATAATTTCATTGAAAACGCAGTTATTATTGAAAGTAATTTTGTTTACAAAATCAATAGCACAAATTGCTTTAAAAGATTACATTTGAATAAAATACACATAGATAAAATTACATAGATAAAAATACATTACATACATAAAAATACATTACATACATAAAAAATACATCCCTCATATATAAAAAATAAGAATATACTAATAAAATCTAAAATATATTTACAAAACGTTGACAAGTTAAAAAATAAATTTAAAACATGTATTATTGTAAACAAATAATGTTAGTTTAAAACATTTTTAGCTTTGCAGATGTGGCTCCAAGAATTAAAATAATAGTTTGTTTGATAGTATACTCTTAAAATGATTTATGCTAGAAATCTCAACAAAAATGTAACAAAATTCAAATAATACTGTTTTTTAAAATATTTCAACAGAATTCTCAGGACATTCAGTTAGTTTTTTTTGAATACTCTAGAAATTTCGGTTAGTATTTTTTGAACCAATAGAATTAGTTATTTGTAGATTTGGCAGGTTTTTTGTGTTTGCGAATATTCTTTTTTTATTTTTCCACACTTAGATGTTTGAGAACATTCAAGTTTATGTATGTTTCCATGTAAGTCCGTAAAACAAAATATTTTAAAATTTACGACAAAATGAACTTATTATTTTGCGGACAAACAAGGAAACATACATAAACTTGAATGTTCTCAAAACGACTAAAAAATCTGGCCGGTTTTTCGCAACTAAATATTATTTCCGTGGTCAGTTATCGAGTGCGATCGCACCCGCTTCCTGACCAAGCTTGATGTTATGACTAGTTTCCAATCTTAAACCTAATGGTTTCAAAGACAATTTTCCTAAATCATGTGCATCATTCATTAAAGAAAAGAATCAGACAGTAGCGATGAGTTACTGGTTCTGACTTGTTTAATGTAGCTAGTGGCATACAACAAGGCTCCAGTTTAGGACCTCTTTTCTTTGTTATGTTTATTATGATATATATGTATATATACATATGTATATATATACATATGTATATATATACATACAATGTATATATATGTGTATGTATTACATACAATGTATATATATGTATATGTATTACATATACATATACATATATATATATATATATATATATTTATTTATACATATATATACATATATATACATGTATATATATATATATATTTATATGTATATATATATATATATATATATATATATATATATATATATATATATATATATATACATATATAAATATGTATATATGTATATATATATACACATATATAAATATATATATATATACATGTATATGTATATATATGAATATACAATATTTTAAAACACTCAAGGGGTTTAATGAAATAAATTGATTTCATACCAATGCCATACCACATTCCCTTTTAGCACAAGGACCTGCAAGTAATGTTAGAGGCTCTAAATTAAGAATTTCAAGACAATTTACGAGAAACCAAGCTAGATATTATTTTTTTACAAACAGGATTGTATTCTTATGAAATAAGTTGCCAAATCAAGTTATCGATTCCAGTAGCATCAAAGAGTTCAAGAATCGATATGACAAGTTCATTGTTGCCGAACAGGCATCTGCTAAAGTCTACTAGACAGACTTCATGAGAAATTATATTTTTTAATTTTTTCTCATTGCAGATTATTGTATTATATTATATTTTTCTCCCATTTAAAAAAAGAAAAAAATTTATTTATAAAAATTGTTCTTATAAATTAAGTTTTTGCATTTGTAAATAAAATAGAAAAATATTTAAAAAGTTTGTCTAATTATTTTCTTTTATGTTTTACGCAAATATAGCATAATTGACACTGTTTCATTTGGTCCCTTGAAATTGTTTAATTGATTACTATTAAAATTCTTCATTTAAGTAAAATAATAAATCACTCCATATAAAATATAAATAAATATACCCTCATAATTTCTTCATTTAAGTAAAATAAGAAATCACTCCATATAAAATATAAATAAATATACCCTCATAATTTCTTCATTTAAGTAAAATAAGAAATCACTCCAAATAAAATATAAATAAATATACCCTCATAATTTCTTCATTTAAGTAAAATAAGAAATCACTCCATATAAAATATAAATAAATATACCCTCATAATTTCTTTATTTTTTTGTTGTATTTAGATCTGAATGTAAAATAATGCTGTAATAAAACTGTTAAAGTGTATTTCATGATGTGCTAGTTTTTCTAACATTTATATTAAACATATAGATTTTAAATTTATGTTTTTTTTTTTTACTATTTATGTTTACATTAGTAAAATAGATGAAAAAAAAAATATTCACACATATTATACTTCTTCCGTAAAACTAATTGAACAATAAACAATGTATTTTACTGATGACAGAAAAGTTTGCTTGAGTTAATTATACATTTTTCACACTTTATAACTAATTATTATACTTAATTACCACTTTTAATGATAAATATAGTGAGTACTTGTGATTTTTAAATAAAAAAATAATTTTAAAATTACAAAAAAATATTTTAAATGCTAAGAATTATCTAAAGAATGACTGCAATATTATAAATTTCAATTCGCTTGGAAATAGGTAGAAAAGCAGTGTCAGAGAGCATCAAATGGCAAATTTTGAACTGGTCAAACCAAAAAAGTATAAAAACATTGAAATTATTAAACTTATGGTGTTTTATTAAAACCTGGAGCTGACAAGTGACGTTGTTGACATGCCTCATTCTAGAAGGCCACTTAAGCTTAGTGACCATGACAAAAGTAGCATATTCAGAACCAGTAGAGAAACTCCTAGGTTCAGCAACAAAAAAGCTAGCTCAAATATTCAACTAATCCTTTTCTAATCAAAATATAAGCAGAGGTCTGCTTAGAAGAACATTAGCAAAAAAAGGATTGGGCCTTACATTTCAATAAGAAAGCCTATCCTGTCAATCATGGATCAACTCAAATGATAAAAATGGTGCAAAGAATTAATTAAAACAACAGTTGAAGATTGGGCAAAAGAGATTTAAAGTGATGAGTCAAATTTTCAGGTTGTGAACCGCAATGAAAGAACAAACATTAAAAGATTTGCAACTGAGAAATATTTTGAGCGCTATTTACAAGCAATATGGCAAGGTGGTGGAGGCACAGGAGGCATATGGAGATGTTTTTCCCACAAAAACCTCGGTATTTGTGAGCTCTATCATGGCCCTATCAACCAATCTACCTACAAAAACACACTTGAAACACATTTGATTCTACCGATAAGGCAATTGTATGGAAGAAGCAAGCAATACATCTTCCAGCAAAATCGTGTTCCAGCACACAAAGCACATAGTATAACACACTGGTTTAACCCAAATCAATTTGTTGCCTGGGTGCCCTAGATCACCAGATATCAACCCAATAGAATTTATTTGGTCATGGATCAATGCTCAATTGGTAATTCAATTAACTTCAGTTCATCAAATTCAATCAACTTCAATTTTTCATCATTCAAAATCAACTTTCATCATTTTTATCATCATTTAAAATCAAATTCATCAAATTCAATCAACTGAGCATTTGAAAAACTTCTGAACGAGTATTGCTTAAAAGCACCACATGAGATGTGCATGAAATTGGTTGAATCAGTGCAGAATTGAGTTCTTCTTTGTTATCAAGCCATAGGAGGATACTTTAAATATTAAATTTATATATTTTTTTTAATTTTTTATGTTTTAAACCTTAACTCTAATAAACTTTTATGCAACTCATTTTATGATTATATAATTAATAATTTTTTTTTTTTTTAAAGCATTTTTTTAACTATCTTATCTTATTAATGTTAATTGTATAGCTAATTGATTGTTCTTTTAAAAATAAAACAAGTTAATTAAATTCAACTTCCTGATTTTTTTAGTTAAAAAACCCTGAAAAGTTTGAT